GTGCTCTGCCACGTGTAAACTCATGCAAAAATAAGAAGTATGCCAAAGCCATTAGCCCTTCCTTGTCATTGAGCCTTACTACCAGTCTCTCCCCTCTTCTGTCCTAAACGATCTGAGGTCTCCTATGCCTCACGGTATAGCATTCAAGCTGGCTGCTTCGCCCGTTCGTTACACGCTGTGGAGTCAGGGTTGAAACGGGGGATGCCAGTTCATGCAAGTTATGCACGTACACAGCTCCGTGAAACACCAAACAACTGTAACAGGTAAACATGTTTCCACTTCTGTCATAAATCTAAGGCTCTATACAAAATTATACTTCATACAAAATATTAGCACTCTCACAACAGTTACCTCTGAAAATAAGTGATATTAGACCTCGCTTAATTCTGTGAAATACATGTTTCCTTCTCCTAAAGCTAATACCAGATACTTGTCTTTGGGGAAACTATTTGTAGAGGTTTTTAAAAAAAAGAGGGAGGGGGTAAAGAATGCCTGCTACACATCAGTGTGTGAAACCAAGGAAACCAAGGAGTCACAAAATGCAATTTAAAAGGTGATTAAAGTTACGAAATTTGCACATAAGCTTTAATTCTGCCTCTAGAATATGGCATGGTACAAACTTCCAGTGGACCTAGAAGAGATCAGAAAGACCAGACAGAGGGTCTGTTCTCTACAGGGAGAATAATTTGCTTCTTTATAAATGTCTAATACACCAGATGGATTGGAAAGTAAGACGACAGACAAAAAACAGGGAGGCTGGCATCTTCCCTTAAACTTATAGCAGTCATTTACTTACAGATAATGGGAGTATCATCAATGACACAGATTTCTAATTGTGACCTGGCCAATCATGAAGACAGCTGTCTGTCAGTCCTCCTTACCCACTAACTCCTCTTCACAGCTAGGCTGAGACTTCTCAGGATCATCTCGCTAAATAGCATAAGGCATCTGTGGAAAAGGGGACAGGACATAGGCTAGTGACAAGGAGCACAGTACTTTTTGGAGGAAGACTAGACATTGACACTCACAGCACGAAAACCATCCACAGCTTGGCAAAAGAAGGTAAGCATGTTTAAGGGATTTGGTGTAGGATGGGCCGTGCTGTTTGTTCTTTCCATTTTGCAGCAGCCATTGAGTACACAGAGGCAGCTGCAGGGCTCCTCTCCTTGGTTCAGACCCAGGATATGGTGCCCCAAACAAGCTTCAAAACCACTGCCTGGGTTTGCTGATGTACACCATGCTCCAGTCATTCTCTAATCCCTGTGCTGAAGACTGGAAAAGTCAGTGCCAAACACAGCTTCGACAACTTTTAACCCAATCTGGGGGTTGCCTCAGATTAGGGAGGCCACAAGTGTTTATTTTCTTGCTATCCAAGTATTGCAAAACCAATCAAGAAGGACAAGAAGGCCACAGAGGGATTTCAAACCTATTTCATCAATCTGTTCTCTTTCAAACCCAGAGTATTTCCCTTATAAGGACAGAATTTTGAAGAAAGCATCATCCAGTATCCAATGACATTATCAAACAAGCTAGGCTTTTTGGGGGGCGGGAATCAATTAGCACCTGGGAGTATTTCACCTATACGTAAAACTATATATAGTTATTTGATTCCACCAAAGAAAAAAATTACTTTCCAAAAGCCAGTCCTCTCCACTTATTTTTCCTCTTTCCCATTGTACTTATTATTAATGTAATTTCAGGCCTATCTTATTATTTGTAGCAGAGTACCAGTCAAACACTACAGTCAAAAAACAAGGTCCCTTTGCGATAGGCACTGTCACAAATAAAAGCACCTGATTTCTCTTCCAACTAACTTGCAAACTCTAAGTAAAGCATTCTAGATAAGATGGACAGAGTCAGCAAAGGGTGATAATATGGTTAATATAAAAAGCAACGGTCACAACTGCATTTTGTTCTGCAAGGAAGGAACGTATTCAAGGACATTAATTCATGCCTTATGGTCTCTGCCAGTACTATCTTTCTAATTAACGATCAAAGTTAAATTTCCAAAGGACACCATACTCTAAACAGGCACTTTCTAAACTCTATGCCTTCGTATTAGGTCACCCTGCAGCAAGTAATTCTCAAAATAAGAGCACTTTGGAAATGTGTTCTTTAACAGTTGCTTGCTAGTAGTCACCATAAGGGAACTAAAAATGATTTGGAGATGTCTGCCTCCTTTTCTGAGGGCGACCTTTTCCTCTGGTTGGTGTTCGTACCTGTTAATTAGAGAAATCCAAAAAAAAAATCTGAAATGTCTGAATCACTTAAAAATTACTTTGAAGAAGGTTACCTTATAGCAACTTTGTATGACAGGGATCAATCCTGCTTTTCAAAACAAACATGAAGAAGAAAATACTTTCCATAGCAAGTTACTACGCCCACTCAAATGTTAAGACTTACCAAGTATCACACAAAGTTAAGTACCACTGAATTACAGCCTCTTCATTTCTCTTTTGGCCTTTTTATTCCCATATTTCTTCCCAGCTACTAACTTCTAAGCTCTCGCACCTTCTTGGTTTGTCAACTTGAATCTCCTGTTCCTGCTTTTCCCACTCTGAAGAGCAACGCTCACACAAAACACCACAGGACAGCAAACCTTTTTCACTAAAAGAACCTTACCCCAACTCCTGCTTCTAATCTGCCAGTTATTTTCAGCTTTCAGCTCCCCTTAAACTTTCTTCTATTTTGCCTCTGCTACCTGCAAAGTGTTTAGAGCAGGAATTATGGCTTTACCAATATCTAGGAAGTAGTATGCAAAATCTTGAAACAGTTGACTAGTGAATAATAATACAGCTAAACTCAACCATCAGTTGAAATGCTAAACAGAAGATTGTTTGGCTGCTTGTTGTGGACTTTTATGTCCTCCCATTTGATTAGAAATACTTAATTAGTGCTAATTAAATACTTTGAAGCTTGGGTGAAAGTTTTTTATAGAAGTGCACATTTCTGCAAATACTTCAATAAGAGAAAAAGACGATGACAAGAACACCAGACAGCACACTTACAAGTAACCTAAAAAAACAAAAAAAACAAAAAAAGTATTTTTTACCCTAATTGAGAGCACGGGTACAGCTGAAGACTGAAGCAGTTCATACTTTGCAGCAGACATATCCTTAAGCAACTCTGCCTCTGCTCTGAATTTGCTGTTGTTTTAGAGCCTGAACTTTAAGCACATTTGACTCCGTGCAAGTGGAAAGCAGCTCTATGGGTGTTGCACATTTACCTTGGTATTATTATTGTTTTCTTTAACATACCTCTGTGCCCAGGTCCAGCCAGGCTATCCAAAATCCAGCACTGTATTAAAGAACAAAAAAAGAGCCAAAATGGGTTTCTACCCTCCTTCAGTACCTTTCAATTATTAGATTAGCCCTTTAGTGAGTAAGCAGGTAAATGCCTGAAACTAAATCATTAAATATAAGGCCATAAACTAAAGCAACCCTGGGGCTGCTTTAAATAGCTGAGACCTCTGAGAAGGAACTGCACTATCTGAGCTGCCTACAAATTAGTACAAAGGAGAAAGAATTTGCCCTAACGATTTCTGCACTTCACCTGGTTGCCGAATACAAAACTCCTTAGCCAGGCTTCAGCTCTCTGCATCAGCCAATCTTAAGGCTAAATTTTACAGCCACAGTGGACCAAAGCAGATCTTCCTTATTAGGAAGTCTCCACTATGCATTTCATCAGATCATGAATAGGTTATCCAACCTGAAAGAAGTAATTTATACTAAATAAAGCTACTATATGCACTTTTAAAGTTCACTTCATTCTGAATTTCTCTTCCCCCTTCTGAACTCTAGGCCAGTAATTGTAAGTGAACAAATCCTTAAAGACATCAATGAAAATATATATTACTAAGCAATCTTTCTTTTCAAATAGGGATAAAGTGTTTGTGATGGAGATAAATTCATTTTCAATCTAATTCCTATATTTCAAGCATAGGTTTGAAGAATGCTGAGCCTAAAAAAATTAGTCTACAAACTTCAGCCTGTGAATAATGATGCAAAAGCAGCAAAGCCAGTTAATCTTTTTATACTCCGTGCAGCAATGAGAATAGACAGGAGGTCGATCGCATACTTTACCAGATCGTATGTTATAGAGTCCTCAAGCATACCACATTAGATAGAACTTTGGCACAATTTAAAATTTAATTCTATTCAAACAGAATTTTAATGCAAGTTGGGAGGTGAATGAGCAACCTCATCTAAGCACATTTCACTGCTACATGCAGACATGTGTCATACACTTCCTATTATGTGAAGAACAGAAATTCTCCACAAGAACTCAAAGTTTTTCTCAATATTCTGTGGCTCGCTTTCCATTTCGGTAATATTTAGCATTCATCTTTGTAACATTTATTAGTGATTAAAAAAATCTATTTCCTCTTCAGCTCATCTTTTTCCAGAGTAACTACATTTTAGCAACGGTTTCATGAAACTGAAGATACTGCTCTTCTTATCATTCCCTATCTTTCCTTACAAATAGCTTCAATTATATTTCCATTTCTTTCTAAGTTAACACCAGCTGACCATATTAATCTTTAACATGAACAGGACATACAGGCACACAACGTGGAAAAACAGATTACTTCATACTACTACACAATGCTTAAAACTGTATTTACATGTCAGTAAAATTACTGTTTTTTCATAAAAACACAAAAATTTATTTAATGTATTGGGAGGATGCCCTATGGCTTTTTGGGAACTTCTGTATTCTGTATGTTTTACACCTGTTTTTTCCTATGTATGGAGAATTTATATTACTGTATTCTCCCTTTCCCTTGTTTAAATAACTTTATATCTCACTCATAAAAGAAGTAGCCATATCTTTCAAGAAGGTTGTGGAAACACTATTATTATTAAGACATTCATCACCTCTTTTCTATTGAAACAAAAAAAATCGTGTTAATGCTTGATTATGCAAGTTTAGTTTTGGAAAGTACCAGAGCAAGTAACCCTTGATAATTATAAAAAAAACCTGGAAGAACTGTCCATTACTGAAGGGCGGGTTTCATACTGCTGTGTCGGTATCCAGACCTTAAGTTCAGAAACTGCACGTGGAGTTGTGCTGTCTGCTCCAGAAGTACCAAACAGCATTATAATATTTTCCCAAATTTGCTTTTTGGAAGCAATTTGGAAGGCAAATTTGTTATTTGATAAGATGTCCATCACTAAATTTGCCTAAACAGACATACAGACATGCCTCTCAAACACATATACACACACACACGCACATACATTGATTTTACAAAAGTCTCCTTTTTTAAGGAAGTAGTCACAACACCGAAAATATTCTCCTATGTGTTCACTGATTACTCTTAAATGATTTGTCACCACTCTGCCACTCAAAGGAGATGGTTATTTCATTCTTCTGAGAAGCTAACTATGTTCAAAAGCAGCTAGATGATGATGGTGGTGTGATATAAATTCCAATAGAAAAATGCATTGTCCATCGGTATAGAAGTCCATCCTGAGAAACTTCCACTGACAAATTCTTGCTATTTTCCATCAGTCATGGGGTTCCCATCAATAAATAGAAGGTAAGTGCAACAATGAGGAGCAAGCAGAACGGAGAAGAGAAGGTCTGATAGGCAGCTGATGGCATGAAAATATCTTCATACTTGTAAATACTGACAACACGCTCTGATACAGGTGGTGAGTCTATATCATGACGAGTTATAGAACCTTTAATAGGTAGGGGCAGAAAGAAATAACGTCAGATACATTTTTGCTATAACTCTACCAAAGAAACAGGTAGAAAGCCAAGTAATTTTTAAACCTACAGGAGCATGCAATATTACACTGTCAGTGAGTAGGGTCATTTCTCCACTTTCCAAAATTAAACTTCTGAATAAAAGAAATGAAATTCAGGTAAACAATAAACATCCTTCAAAGGAATTCAGAACATCCAGTTATGAATTATCCTTACTTAAGTTTATCTTTGGGGAGTGGAGGTAATGACTACATAGCGAAGAAAACACGACAGGTAGGAGTATTACTTATTTTGTCTTCCTTTTCATCTGTTTCAAGCCTCGTGCTGCCAGAATTTTAGTTCATTTTAAAAAGGGGGTCTAGTAAGAATATTGTAACTGAAAGAAATTTATGAATTTTGTCACCCCAGTTCTGCCAGAAGCACGGAAATCAACTTACCCTGAATTGCAGGACCCCAAGCAAACAGATAGTACCAACTCAAGTGCAGATCTACGATGGTTTCCTCTCGGGGAACATACACAGGACGCTTGAATCGACATGTTACACGATTGTTTTCAAAAACCCCTTCTTCATCTCTAGCAGGATTTCTCTGGATTTCTTTAGCCCACTGACCGACATTATAGAAGTGCTGTATTCGGACTCTTCCGTTATCATCATGAACACAAGCCATCACATCATCTCCTCCCTACATGGTAAAAGCATATTGGTAGAAGGAAAACAAAAGTCCACTGCATCAAATCATGGACAGAAATCCAGTAAAATCTGGCAAAAGAGAGGAGATGAATCTACTCAATCTGGGCAAATAATAGCATAAATTCCAGTCTGTTTGTTCTAATCTCTTTTCATGTCCACTTAAGGGAACATCACTTCTTTTATCTCTTAAGAGAAAATGAAAAATGTTCAGCATTCAGTAACAGAATACAGAACACTTGTAAGATGCAAGAAAAGAGTAATCAGTATGTGCTTCCTCATGCAGTAGAAACAGCCACCAAGCATCACAATCAAGCAAAGAAACAACGGACAGAAGGAAGCGTGAGACAATTGTTTGCAGAGGTCATTCGCAGAAATACTAAACCAGCTGGTAAAAGAGTTATGCAAGGTCACTGCCAAAGTGGCAGAGCACTGCATCCATCAGGGATTAGCATTAATTTTAGAGGTACTATCTCACAGTAGCTTTCGTGTCTAGAACCATCAAAAGACTGCGCAAGTTGGATGAATGGTGTTTTACTGAACTCCACTGCCACGGGTATTGGTGCCGTATTAAATACAGGTCCTGCTTCCCCAATATTAATCTTTCCGATGTGTCATGCTGATGGCAGACATGGTGCTTGCTAGTGTGATCATCTCTCAGTCCTTTGCTACAGGGTAAGGAGAGAAAAAGGCTGCAGTTCACCTCTCTGGGAATACCGCTATGGGGCTTTGTAAGAGATGTGCCAAAAGTGAGGGGAAAAAGGGGACAACTGGGTAAAACATGCGCTTGAACAGTTTCTGCACCTCAGTGCTGCTGCAGGCAACCTTTCCAGCTTCTGTCTTGAGCTTATGCTTGCTCTCTGTAACTTGTTTTCAAAGTTTAATTTTTATACATCTGAGTACAAATCCCTCATTCTTAAGTACAGAGGCATAAATAAAGCTGTTTTCACATACAAAAAAAATAAAAAGGAAAGAAAAGAGCATTCTGAATCTCAATTAACAGAATGACGTTGCAAAATCCTGCCTAGGCACAAAAGCCTGCAAGTGGAAAAGAATAATGTCATTTGAGACATAGAAATAGGTCACAGGAGTTAAAAAAAAAATAATCTATTGAGGACATAAAATAGTTTCTTTTTCTGAACTTCTGTAGCTATCCAGGCCACACCATTTTGATTAGGGCCTCCAAGGCACAGCCCACTTCTCACAGCCGCGCTGTGCCGACCCAGAGTCCTTTTACCATTACAGCCTCTGTATCCCAGGACACCAAAACATCCTGGAAGTTATGAAAAAGGATGAAGTCAGCAGAGAGGAAGGCAAATGCTAGCTGGTTTAGTCCAGCTGACTGATAGGCACTAGTTCGTGTACGCAGCAAATTTGGAAGCAAAACCTTTTTACTTTATGCCTACTTTATCCTTCTCACTGTAAGCAGAGACCTAACACACTGCTCGGTGTGCTTGGGCTGAAACGTAATGGGTGGGAGGTGGGCTGCTTTCCAAGGGGCTGATGAGGTGCAGGCGGTGAGACCCTGGGATCCACTGCAGGTATAGCAAAGTTACAAGCTGCTAACACGGTCTCCGATAGCTTGGGGCCAAATCCTTAAAGGTGCTGAGCTGCTTTGAAAACCCTGTTGAGTACTTGCATTGCCAGGCATCTAAACTCTTCCCAGAATCTGGCTGAAAAACTGTTCCTCACAACATCAAACATGAACAGTTTCTTATGGCGTGAACTGTTCTTTATGACTCAAAAGACTGCCAGCTTCATTGTGTTTATTTACAGTGTCATATTTAAACTGATACAGCAATGACTGAAAAACACCTGCCCTCACAGTTTCTGTTTCTCATTTTTGGTCTGATAAAAACATTATTAAGTCTGTGCGAATCTTGCCACTGACTTTTGTGAGTCCTAGCCTCGGACTTCTAAATTCTGTACCTTTTTCGGACTACTGCTTACAACTGTACAAGAAACACTCCTGTCCTCTGACCTGTGATTTAGGACATAGGCTCGGCACTTTTTTATACACTCAGGAGTGTTTCTGTTTACGAACACCTACATTATCAACTGCACTTTAATTCTAAACATTTTACCACCAATCGCAGACAAAACATGTTTGCATTAGTCATCTGTTGCTCAGGTTTTATAAAGTCGGTACAGTATATGCTCCTGTTTTGCTCATTGAAACACCATAAAAAGTGAAGCTTTTGAATGAAAAAGTAAGTACAGGGATAAGCATAAAACCAAATCTAATAAAAACCAGGAGAGTTGGAAGAAGAAATGTTAACAAGATTGCTTTCTAGAGCTTCTATGTTTAAATTAGCAACAGTCATTTTGTTACTCACTTGTGGCTTCCCTAGAACAACATATAGGTATGAAACAAACAAAAAGATTGCCAAAGTTTAATGGTGAAAGCTATATGTATATCACTGAAAGTCAGCTGATTTACTGAAGAAAAAAATTATTATTTTCTATTTAGTTTCTGATGTGCCTTTTGTCCAGGGAACACTGACATAAGGCGTGACAGGACATTTCCACATGAATTGGCTTATCCCTGAGGGCTTTTCTAATAAAAAGGCAAAAAGCTGAGAAGATTCAGACATTCAGAGCTGAACCGAAATACTGTTGTAATTCACCGTGGAGAAGGGAAAGGACATGTTAGGAACGCTGAGGCAGTTTTCTGGAAGGCAGTAAGCCTGGCTTCTGCTCCCAGGCTGGCGACCAAACGGTGCTTTGTTTTCAGCAAGTCGGTTTTTCCTTATGCACTCTGTTTGTGACAGATCAAATATAAATCATTTATATCCTAGCATGTAAAAGTATGCACACTGTCAACATGAAGAACTGTACGTGTCTTACCATTTTCTTGTCCGAGGAAAATCCCACTGCCACCCAGCCATCAGTATCGGCACTCAACTCAAATTCGACATCAGCTCCGATCCTACGGTAACTTAGAAAGTAGTCACAAGTCTCCGCGTTGCATCCAGGTTTACCGTACCTAAATGGAATTGGAAATACACGTAACTTTGCCTTGCAATTTCCTGCTATGGAACTTAATTACATTTCTGCAAGAAACAAATAAAAGAATGCATTTTGGTATAATGACAGTAAACCATATTGTATTATGCTATACACAAAGTACCATTAATTAAGTGTTTGCAATTATTACTCCTCTAGTATAAGAATGTGTAGTATTTAAACAGTACAGCAATCAATTAATTACACACAGTATTACTCTGTTGCTCTTCCCAGCCCTGGTTTTGCAAGTGCTTCGTGATGTTACAAGAAACATGAAATAACCATAGGTCCATAACTACGATTCTTCCCAGCCCTGGTTTTGCAAGTGCTTCATGATGTTACAAGAAACATGAAATAACTACAGGTCCATAACTACGACGTAGATCCTTAAATAATCTAGTTTCCTCAAATAATATAGTCCATAACACTAAGAAAGTGTGTTCTTAAATAACAAACATTTATTAAAATGAATATGGAACATATACCAAAGTCTCCAAGGCAATCAGTCAGCATTTGCAAACATAAAGGTATCGGCACTCTTTTCTCAAACTGACCTGAAGCATCCCTTGGTTTTTCCACAGTCATCCACTCTGATTTTTGCAAATGGGTCCACAGGAGGAGCAGTA